TGTGTCACAGGCTGCGAATATCAGTTTTGATTTTCGAGGATATGTGCCTACCGGGTTGACCTGACCTTGACCCTGACCTATGCTTGATTGACCCCTACATGGAGCTGACACTCTTGTAGGCCTTATATGATGGATTGTGCACCGTTTTGACAGAATTTATGACGAGAGGCGCCCATTGCGAAGTCCTGAAGTCCATGCTACTGAAAGCCCGATTTCAGGTGTTTGACCTGACCTTGACCCGACCTGTGACCTCAAAATTCAACTTAAAAGTACTCATCTGAAGCGTCTCGTCGCGTTCTTTCGTTTGCCGCCTCTTGCGTTTCGCTGCGCCTATTGGTTCTCGAGTTATCGGCTGGGGGCGTTTAACGCCCCCCCCCCTCCCCAGCAAACGGTGGGTGGCGAAATACCCCAGCAACTGCCGGGTTAATATGTTGGAAAGGGGAGGAGGCCAAACATGGGAATTAAGAAGGGGTCCTATCTTAACTTTAGGGGCCCCAGTGGTAACCTACTTTACCCGAGCCCGGGTGCGGTTCCTAGCCAACTTTGCCAATTTTTTCCCTCGCATCCGGGCGCATAGCTCGTGCACCGTATAAAGTGTTACAGCGTCACGGAACAATGCATTTGATAGATCCTTGGAACCCTCCTCTGCATTGCCCTTAGATTCGGGCTCAGTTCAACAATTTGGCCCACACTGAGAGCAAAAACCTCCAAAATAGACGGATCTTGCAGAAGCATTTGTTCCATTTCTTTACGTATATCTACTCAGTACTCACTCCACGTATGGTAGGCACAGTTTTTACCGTAATTGTGTCTCTCGTATCGAGAGGCGTTAAATTATCTATTGTAGGACCTATAGTCATATGACCTATAGTCAGTTGCATGCTCTAACCGAAAAAGGTCATGCTGTACGTAAACTGATCTGTGTTGTTGGGCTGAAGGCATTACATAACCCGCGCCCTGCTGGGGGGTGTTTGAACACCCCCCCTTGTGGTTTTTCGCGAATATCTCAAAAACGGCGGCGCGGAGCGCCGCCGTTTTTGGTACACCTTATCATACATCAATTCTACACATGTTGTGAAAATTTCAGACCAAGCTCATTCAAGGTCAGGTCACCAGGTCACTTGAAGTGACCTCACCTCATAAAAAGTTTCAATGTCAGTCATAGCTACACCGAGTGACCGATCGCTTTGAAACTTTCAGCGATTGCTAAGAGCAATAGCATGTACAAAATGTATATCTCAGAATTTTGATATCGATGACCTAAGGTCAGGTCAATTTTGCGACCTCACCATTATAAGTCAATGGGAGAAAATTGAAATGCGCCTCTTTTGGACGAAAGACATTATAAACACTCCCAAACACTGAATTACAAGTGGTTTAGACACACTGAACATGAAAATGGTGTCCGTGACCCCTGATTATGCCCTGAGGTCATCTTAGGTCACGAATAGTATCTAACAGTTTTTCGCAAATAACTTTTGATAGAGGCATGCTAGAACGATGAAAACGCCTTAGATGTGTTCAGCTCGACGATACCGATCGACTGATATGCAACATGACCCTTTCCGGTCAGGTCATGACCTTGACCTGAGGTCAAATTTTCAAGTTGACCTTTCAAGGTCAAGTTATAGTTCATTCGATGCGTCTTGACAAGAGTAACACGATGCGGGTAAAAGTAAGCTCGTACAAGGCCTGAGTCAAAAGTTATTGCAGAAAAACTGTTTCCGAAAAAATCGGCTATTTTTGCAGTTTTTGCCCCTGCAGGCAAAACCCTTGCCGTTAGGTCAAATCTGAGAAAATTACTCAGAAAGGGCGTTAATAGGGCTATCGAATGCGCTTTTCTGCGGCGCTGTAGCTCTATTGGTTCCCGAGTTATGCGTTGGCTTCTTGGAAATTGTCGACATTCGACCTTGAAATCGGCGAAATTTTGCCTTCAATGACCTCTGGTGACCTGACCTTTGACCTGACCAAAAAATTGACTGAAGTGATTTCCTCATTATTTTTGACGCTCTTTCGAACGCCGCCTTCCGCGTGTCGCTACGTGGCCCAGGAGCCGAGTTAGAAGGGGGGGGGGGTGTTCAAACACCCCCCCCCCCCAGCAGGGCGTGGAAATCCAGGACCCCCAGCCGGGCGCGGGATAATACACTCTTTCATCACTCTACTATGTCTTCTTTTAAACTCTTTGTTGAATTTTTTGGTGCCTTTGGTGACCTTTCTAGTGACTTCTACAGGCTCCTGCACAGACCGGTAGAGGCCATGCTGGTCACTGAGAAGTCACGCTGGTCATAGGTCGGTCTCTAAGAGCTCCATGTCGTCGACCTCCGAGGACCCTGCACAGTGCACACTGCTTCGGAGGCTCCACATCGGACCCTGTAGATCCTATCTCCGGTCTTAGATCCTTGAGGGCTCAAGATGGTCCCCGAGAGCCCTACGTCAGCCTCAAAGAGCAGATATCAATCTGCCTAGAGTCTTGCGCTGGTTGAGGGCTGATACCCTAAGTTTTAGGAGGGCCCAACTCGGGCTATGAATTCCTCTGATGGCTCCATGTCGCCCCCGGGGCCTCAGTCCGACCTCTAAGGCCCAATCATGCATAAGTGCTGAATTCATATATAATCCGAATCTGAATCAACTGAATTCATGCATAAGGCCTTCAATGTGGCCTCTGATGGCCCAGCGCCAGTCTATGAAGACCCCGCGCTGGCTTCTGAGGACTCAGCAGTCAGCACTGTTGGCGCCGTTGTCGCCTGGCGATGCTAACTTTTAGTTGTCTGGGCGATTGACAGATGGCGCTGTGATTTTCGGTTGTCCATTTGCTATCGATTTATTGATATGTGTATTTTTTGGTTTGGCGCCTTGTTTCTTTTGGTTTATTTTAGGTATCGATTTGTAATTTAGTTTTGTATTGTGATCCGCGGTCATAAGTTATTTGGATTTTGTTCGATTTACTGACCGTGACCTCTACGGTCACGTGACCCGGCGCCGGCTGACCTGCCACGTCACCCTTCTGGGTCAGCGGAGGGGCGGCCGGCGGGGCAGCGCCCATTCTTGGTTGGCCTGTCGCGGCGGCGTTAGCGTGCCGCGCATCGGTTTGGTTTGGTCGTGTTTGGCTTGGTTCGGCCGTTCGACGCTTGGAGTGCACAAGGGCGCACCGTGTAGGTGAGTGAGCGATTTTGACCTCGGAAATTAGTTCATGTTGGTGAGATTGTTTGCCGATTTTGTTTGCTTTGCTTTGTTGTGTCTGCGTATTCGTTTGGTTGGTGTTCTTTTTGGTCATTTGTTAAGTTTCTTTGTTTCGATTCCAGAAACCGCTACGCTTTGTTCCGTTCTGTTTGCTGCTCTACGAGCAATATATGGTCAGCACAGGCGGAGAGCGCGTTTCACTACCGGTCGGCGCGAGATCCGGAGCCCTGAGGTCGTCGGCGGCTACAGTTTCTACACGCGCCAGTTTCTGGCTCTGCGCGAGCGGCATCTGCGCTCGCTGGCTGGTCTTCGGCTGCTCGGCGCCAGCTTCTGTGCGCGCTGACTGGATCTTCGGGAGCGCGCAGTTTCTGCGCGCCGGCTGGATCTTCGGACGCGCGCAGTTTCTGCGCGCGCTGGCTGCGCGATCGTCGCTGTCCTACGGACGCGCGCAGCTTCTACCAGTTTCTACGGTCTGCAGTGGCTACTGTGTTTCGGCCTGCAGCCGAGCTCGACACGTGCCGACTGCCGGGCCTCTGCGCGTGTTTCAACGTGCTGAGTTTCTGCGTGAGCTAACGTGCGCAGAGTCGGTAAGTGATCTGGGTCTGGTTTGGTATGACCGTGAGTTTGGTTTGGTTTGGTTTGACTCACCTCTGTGAGTTTGGACCTGTGAGTACCTACTGCTCGCGGGTAGTTTGGCCTTGAACCGGGGGCAGTTTGGCCTTGAACTTTGGACTTGGACTCGCGCCAACTCGCTCTTCCTGGGTTGGCTGTGTGCCAGGATTAGACTCAGTCTGGCTCAGTGGTATCAGTGAACTTTGGCTCAAGTAAGGAATTTGAGTGCTCTTCAGGGGAACATCAGTGGGGCTGTTGGGATTAGCTTTAAGGTGTTACTGTGTCACGCATTTGTGTTTAGTGTGTGTTGTTGTTGTTTGTGTGATGCATTATTAGGGTAAGGTAGCTAAATGGCATCAAGGGAGGAGCTCTCCAAGCTCAAGTCCTCAGAGTTAGTGGAGGAGCTCAGCTCTAGGGGGCTTTCGACTTTGGGTAAAAAGGCGGAGCTTGTTGATAGGCTGTGGAATGTTGTCAAGCCTGTTGATGATGAGCATGATGGTGTAGACAGGGACATGTCTCAGCTAAAGGGAGATGTAAATCAGGAACGGGTCAGGATGGCAGCAGGTCAGTTGGATAGCAATACTTGGTCTCAAAATCTGTCAGGTTCTGGCTCGGAAGCGTCTCAGTTGCTCATTGCAAAGTTGAGGAATTTGAAAGAGATGGAACAGCTTGAGGAACAGGAACTTAGGATTAAGATGAGACGTCAGCAGTTAGATATAGAGTTAAAGCTGGCTGAGTTGCCCAGTGGAGAGGTAAGTGAGGAAGTGATTGACTCATTGAGGATCCAGACAGACAACCAGGTGAGATCTCCCCGTTCTGATGAGACATCCGTGCTGAACTCACAGATGCAGAGGATGTTGTTGCCACCTACTGAGATTGAGAAATTTGATGGTAATGTCATGAAGTACAAACTGTTCATCAGGTCATTTGAGGCTAGAATTGTGTCACGCACGACTGACGATGACGAGCTCTTGCACTACCTTGAGCAGCTGACTGTGGGAAAACCGAAACAGATTGTTAGGAGCTGTATGTATCTGAGTGAGGGTGGTTATGCAGAGGCCCGAAAGCTGTTAGATCAGAGGTATGGCAGCTCACACAGGGTGGTCGATGCATACGTGCAAAGACTGAACGACTGGGGCAGGATCCCTCCAGGTGACGTAGAGGAGTTAGATAGGTTGACCCTGTACCTGACTGAAATCAAACACGCAATGACTGACTTGGACGTTGCAGGTGAGCTCGAACACCCGAGAACCTTGAGAGAGGTGGTTGACAAACTGCCTGGCTACTTGAAGGATAGGTGGATGAGGTTAAGTGATGATATCATGGAAGGTGAAGGAAGGATGGTTAGGTTCAGGGACCTGGTTGATTTTTTGGCCAAGGAAGTGCGCGTTAAGAGAAACCCAGTTTTTGGTAGGTCCTCGGAGAGCAAACAGGCTGCACAGAGGTCAAAGCCGCAGGTCTCTGGTCGCATGCAGGCGCAGTGCAGTGCGACTGCAGTAAGCTCAGGATCAGGTGAGAACAGATGCAGGTTCTGTCGAGGTAATCACTTCCTTGATGACTGTCAGGAGCTGAAATGGAGACCAATGGATGAGAGGAAGCAGTTCATTCAGACTCAGAGGTTGTGTTTTGGTTGCTTGCATGAAGGTCACACTGCCAGGTTCTGCAGGAAGCGTAGGAAGTGCAGCATCTGTGGTGGTCTGCACGCTACTCTCCTCCACAGGCAGGGTGAGCAGCCACCTAAGGCTGAGCAGGTGAGACCCAGTGCTGCTCCCAGCAGCTCAGTTCAGGTTAGCAGCGGTGGAGTCACTGCTGACTCTGGTCAGAGAACAGGTACTCTGATGCCTGTGGTTCCAGTGAGAGTTGTGTCACCCTCAGGGAAGACAGTGGAAACTCTTGCCTTTTGTGATAGTGGCAGCTCTGGAACTTTCATGAGTAAGAGTCTGGCTGATCAGCTTGGGATGTGCTTAAAGTCCACTACCATTTCTGTTGACACTGTGTGTGGATCTGGGAGTGAGATTTCCACATCTGTGATGGAGGATGTGAGAGTTGGTCCCCTGAAGGGTGAAGGTCTGTTCTCGCTCCCTCCAGTGTTCACTCTTGACCGCATTCCTGTGTCCACTGAGGATGTGTGTGACAGAGTTGAGTTGAGTGCTTGGCCACACCTGTGTGGTGTGGAGCTGCCGGAGACTGATGTTGATCTGCATGAGGTGGATCTACTGATTGGTGCAAACTGTCCACAGCTGTTGGTGCCGGATGAGGTGAGGAAGCCTGAGGGCGACGGGCCGTGCGCTCTGCGCACCCGCCTCGGGTGGTACGTGATTGGACCCTCCCATCGGTCGGCTCGTGATCCTGTGGGTCAGCACTCTGTGAACCGGATCGGCGTTTCGCGTTCCGACATTCCTGGTAAGGTCTCTGAGGCTGATCTGTTCGTTCAGCTGTACGATCAGGATTTCAAGGACGCAGCTGATGAGACTGAGAGTTTGTCCGTGGAGGACAAGGAGTGGGTGAGCATGGTCAAATCTAAGCTGAGGAAGGATGAGATGGGCCATTTTGAGATAGGTCTCCCACTCCGTGATGTCAGTGACTTGCCGGATAGCTACTTCACAGCTAAAAGGCGCTTGGAGCCTCTCAGGCGACGCTTGTCTGACAACCCCGATCTTCGTGATGAGTATCTTTCTGTTGTTCAGCGACTGTTTGATGAGGGCTACGCTGAGGTGGTCCCCGATGCTGAGGTTGAGACTGGGGAAAGGGTTTGGTATTTGCCGCACCACGGTGTTAGGCATCCAGAGAAGAAGAAACTAAGGGTGGTTTTTGATTGTTCTGCAAAAACTGACGGCCTGTGTCTGAACGATCTGCTGATCAAGGGACCCAACCTCACCAACTCACTTGTTGGGGTGCTGCTTCGATTCCGCCTGAATCCTGTGGCGTTCACGTGTGACGTGGAGTCGATGTTTCACAGGGTTCGACTGCCTGCTGCTGATGCGAACATGATGCGTTTCCTGTGGTTCAGGAACGGCGATGTCGGCGGTGACGTGGTGGTCTGCCGCATGAAATCGCACATCTTCGGCGCGGTGTCTTCTCCCAGCGTCGCAGGGTTTGCACTGAGGCAGTGCGCTGAAGAAGGTAAGGCCGAGCATCCAGAGGCTGCTAGGATTGTTGATCAAAATGTCTATGTAGACGATGCACTGGTATCGGCTTCATCAGTGGACGAGGCTGTTCGTTTGGCCAGCGATTTGAGACAGTTATGTCAGACAGGCGCATTTAACATGCGCAAGTTCACGAGTAACAGCACAGAGTTCCTTCGGAGTATTCCGCGTGAGGACAGGGGCAACAACGCGAAGGATCTTGACCTCCAGGCAGAGTCGTTGAAGCCGGAGCGTGCTCTGGGCATGCTGTGGTCGGTTGAGGATGACACGTTCCGGTTCCGCTTCGTTGACAGGCGCAGACCAGTGACGAGACGAGGCATCTTGTCCACAGTCAGTGCCTTGTTCGACCCGCTAGGCATCGTCGCGCCAGTCACCTTGCAGGGCAAGGTCTTGGTCCAGAAGCTGTGCATGATGTCCTGTGGCTGGGACGACGCCATTCCGGCGCCCTTGGTGGACGAGTGGTCTGAGTGGTTGGCGCAGGCCAACCGCCTCGATGCGGTCAGCCTGGACCGATGTTTCGGGGCTGCTTCTGGTGAGGCTGCTCGTCAGCTTCACGTCTTCTCGGACGCCAGTGAGACTGGTCACTCAGCAGTGGCGTTCCTGAGAACGGAGACGCCGACAGACGACGGTGGTGTCGTGTGTACCGTGCGCTTTGTTATGGGGAAGGCTTTGGTGAACCCTGTGAAGTTCGTAACGATCCCTCGTTTAGAGTTAGCCGCGGCCGTGGTGGCTACAAGGCTGAGGGATCTGATCGTGAAGGAGTCTGGCCTTCGTTTCAGCAGCTCGTACCTGTGGACTGACAGCACAGTCGTGCTGAAGTACCTTCGTAACAGGACGGCTCGGTTTAAGACTTACGTGGCAAACCGAGTCACTTTCATTCGAGACAGGACGTCGGTAGAGGATTGGAAGTACGTCCCGTCTGCTGCCAACCCGGCAGATGTCGGATCACGTGGATCCACTCCAGAGGACTTGGACATGTGGTTGAAGGGGCCGGACTTCCTTTCAGCGAGCGAGGAGAGCTGGCCGTGTGAGCCGGGGCGGTCAGTTGATGATTCTGATGATCTAGAGATCAGACATCCCTCACCTGCGACTGTTGTTGCAGCGGTCGCTGAGGTTCCTCAGGTGTCGGCTGCAGTGTCGGGTCGCGAGCAGCCGTCGGCGACTGAGAAGCTGCTCAGTCACTTCTCGTCTTGGTACAGACTCAAGAAGGCCGTGGCATGGTACATACGTTTCTTTCAGGTGCTCAAAGGGAGACTGCTCTCTCGGGCGCGCGTGATCCGCGATCGAGGTCTGCGCGCTCGCGGAGTGGGGTTGGAGACGTCTCTGAGCGTGGACGATCTAAGGTCTGCTGAGCTGAACATTCTCAGGTATGTTCAGGAGACCAGCTTCTCAGAGTTTTATGATCGTGGAGGCACGGTAAACGTGAAGTCGAGCTCCCTCAAGGGGCTGAACGTGACGCTGAAGGACGGACTGTTGGTCGTAGGGGGTAGGTTGAGCCGCTGCCCAGTTGAGAGCAGCGCCAGGTGTACTGTGCTCCTACCGAGGAACCATCATGTGACGAGACTGGTAATGCGTGACGCTCACGTGTCAGTGGGGCATCAGGGTCGTGAGCACACGCTGAGTAAGATCCGAGAGAGATTTTGGATAGTGGGGGTGGGACCTCTGGTCAGGAGCCTAGTGCGATCCTGCGTGACCTGTAGGAAGGTTAACGCAGCACCAGAGCAGCAGATGATGTCAGATTTGCCAGAGGATCGGGTGACACCGGACACGCCAGCTTTCACGTCGGTAGGTTTAGATGTGTTCGGACCAGTGATGGTGAAAAGGGGTCGTCATGAGATCAAGCGGTATGGTCTTATGTGCACCTGTCTGGTCACCAGAGCCGTTCATGTTGAGGTTCTTCAGTCGTTAGAGACAGACTCACTGATCAATGCGATTCGCCGCATTGTAGCGCGTAGAGGGCCGATTCTTAGGATAAGGAGCGATTTGGGCACGAACATGGTGGGGGCCAACAATGAGCTACGGGCTGAGCTTGAGAGGTTAGATGTAAGTATGCTGCAGCAGTTCGCTCTGTCCAAAGGGATTGAGTGGATCTTCAATCCACCTGCTGCGTCCCACTTTGGGGGATGCTGGGAGCGATGTATCCGAACGTTTAGGAAGGTTTGGAGATCTATGCCGACTCAGAGACTTGACGACGAGGGACTGAGCACACTGTTCTGTGAGATTGAGTCAGTGCTTAACAGTAGGCCGCTGACATACGTTTCCGATGACAACGGGAACCTTGAGCCGCTCACGCCCAATCACCTGCTGCTCTTACGAGGCGGCGGTGAAGGCATACCAGGTAGGTTTGCTGACGAGCAGTTCTCCGCCAAGCAGTGGAGAAGGGTCCAGTACCTCGCTGACCAGTTTTGGCTCAGATGGAGGCGCGAGTACTTGCCGACCTTACAGCGGCGCCAGAGGTGGGTATCTAAGTCTAGGAACGTAGAGCAAGGAGACGTTGTGTTACTGATAGATGAGGATGTGCCGAGAGGTCATTGGCGCATGGGCAAGGTGACGCAGACGTTTCCGAGCAAGGACGGTTTGGTGAGAAAGGTGTCCCTGAGAACTGGTGGCACGGTTTTGACGCGGCCGGTGCATAAGCTGATCGTCCTGCTGCCGACTGCTGACCGGAGCCTGAGCTAGGCTGCGATCGTCTGGAGCCGACTGCGGCTCAGACTTGAGTTACCGAGTGTTGTCGCGGCGCGGTGATAGTTAAGTGTTTTATTCGGTGTTTAGTGTTAAGTGATGAGTGTTGGGTGTCCTCAACCCTGTCGGTTGAGCGGGTGCAGTGTTGGCGCCGTTGTCGCCTGGCGATGCTAACTTTTAGTTGTCTGGGCGATTGACAGATGGCGCTGTGATTTTCGGTTGTCCATTTGCTATCGATTTATTGATATGTGTATTTTTTGGTTTGGCGCCTTGTTTCTTTTGGTTTATTTTAGGTATCGATTTGTAATTTAGTTTTGTATTGTGATCCGCGGTCATAAGTTATTTGGATTTTGTTCGATTTACTGACCGTGACCTCTACGGTCACGTGACCCGGCGCCGGCTGACCTGCCACGTCACCCTTCTGGGTCAGCGGAGGGGCGGCCGGCGGGGCAGCGCCCATTCTTGGTTGGCCTGTCGCGGCGGCGTTAGCGTGCCGCGCATCGGTTTGGTTTGGTCGTGTTTGGCTTGGTTCGGCCGTTCGACGCTTGGAGTGCACAAGGGCGCACCGTGTAGGTGAGTGAGCGATTTTGACCTCGGAAATTAGTTCATGTTGGTGAGATTGTTTGCCGATTTTGTTTGCTTTGCTTTGTTGTGTCTGCGTATTCGTTTGGTTGGTGTTCTTTTTGGTCATTTGTTAAGTTTCTTTGTTTCGATTCCAGAAACCGCTACGCTTTGTTCCGTTCTGTTTGCTGCTCTACGAGCAATATATGGTCAGCACAGGCGGAGAGCGCGTTTCACTACCGGTCGGCGCGAGATCCGGAGCCCTGAGGTCGTCGGCGGCTACAAGCACCAATCTCAGTTTTCAGAAGACAGGGCCCCGCGCTGGCCTCAGAGTGTCCAACGCTGTTCACAGAGGGCCCCCACACCGACCAAAGAGGGCACCTGGGCCTAAGAGGGCCCAAATTGTCATCATAGGGCCCTATATGGCCTCAGAAGGCCCTACCCCGTTGGTCTTATATGGCCTACGTGCGGGCTTTTTAACGCCACACGCCCCCCCCCCCACATTTGGCCTTTTAGGGTCCCCAAAGCGGCCTCTGAGTGCCCCATGCTAGCCTCCGAGGGCTCGTCCTGGGCCTTCGAGCGCCTTACGCTGGCCTCTTAACCCCTCGGTAGAAGTAGGTGTACAAATACTTATGTTTGGGCAGAAATTTTGTATCCTAGCCTGTGCATGTTACATGCAGTGTATACGGTATATGTGCGAGTATGTAACGTGGTGTCATTCTGGCTTCTGAGGTCTGGTTTGCCCCCTAGTCGAAATCCATTAGCCAAGACCCTGAGATACAGTGCCGCCCTCTGAAATGAAAGTAGCTCCATCTGAACTCGTAGCGACGTCCCTGAAGCCAAATTAACCCCTTCTTTACCCTCGCGGGCCGAGGGAGGAGGGGGGGAGGCACCCCTTACGATTTTTTTTTCGTGACTGCTCCGGAGCCGTTTTCGATAGAGAGCTACAACTTGGCCTACGTGAGCCCCCATCCAAACAAGACCTTATGACGCCTGATTCATTTTCAGGTTAGTTCAGGTCCATAGGTGGATAATTGTGCCGAACGGTGGGTGCTCGGGCGCAGCACATCCGCCGCCGCCCTAGCGGTGACCTTGACCTCCACAGTCTGTTGCGGCTTCAAAGCCAAGCCGGCGTGGAATTGGGAGAGCTCGTGCACCCACAGTTCAGCACAATTCTCCACCTATGGTCAGGTCACCGACCGATGCATAAACCTCTAAAGGTTATAAGTAAACCTCTGCAGTCTGCACTCTGCACTGTCAAAAAATGTCGCAACTTCGCAACGCCGCCAACGCCAGGCAAAGTGTCGGCGAGGATGATGACACTTTCAGAAAGCAACAAGCTCCTGGGTACTCATACTTCGTAGATCTTGTTTTTTTTTCGTACAATTCATCTTGGGTCAGGTCAGTCACGTGACCTCCCCCATTATAAACCTATGGGGGAAATACTAACTTGCTCTTTTTGCAACCTATAGGTATTAGGTATAGAATCCGCCCGAAGACGCATAGAAATGTGTTTTGATACGCTCGTCAAAGGATTCCGTGCCTTATTTTGGCATTTTTTACTTTTATGATGTCACAGAGAACGTCACAGAGGACGTTCGTTTGGGTCATAATCGTTTTTCGTTAATAACTTTCGACCAAATTAACCCGCGCCCCGCTGGGCTATTCAGCCATACGCGCCCTGCTGGGGGGGGGGGGGCAGATTCTGCCCCCCCTGTCTAACTTCCGAACCGATGGTCGTAGAAAGACGGGGAAAACGGCAATCGAAAGCTCTCAACAAGGCGGATCTTAAGAGCCAAATTTTTTTTTGCTTAAAAAGGTCAGAGGTCAGGTCAAGGTCAGGTCAAGGGTACAAAATGCAAGTTTCTACAGTATCGGCCTTGCACCGTAGTTGCCGAAGAATGGACTGAGACTGATTGCCCAAAACGTGTTCTTAGACTACCAAAGCAATATTTGTTGCACACAATGTCATTCAAAGGTCAAGGTCAAGGTCAGGTCAGGTCAGGTCAGGTCACCAAAAACAAAATATAGAAAAGGGCATGTGCGACACATGTTTTATGGGTCATTTTACTCATGGAATTCAATAGGCACACTCAATAAGTGATATGGACCACCTCTGGATGAATTTCAGGTCGAGGTCAGGTCAAGGTCAGGTCAAGTGAGGTCAAATTTTGAAGTTGGTTGTTAAGGCCTAAAAAGGTGTCTATCCGATGCAGTTTTTCACGGCGAATCGAATGGTGCTATTGTGGTTTGCGTACGAGGTCTAGAACTTCCAAAAAAATCATTTTCAAAATTTTTGTGTGTCGTGACGTCATAAAATTTTGAATAACTCCCACATTTTTGAACCGATTCTTCTAAAAATTGGTATGTAGGTGCACATAGACTACTTCTTTGACATATATTCCGGTTTTTTTCGATAAACTCAAAATTTTGGATTTTATAAATGTTTTCCAAAAAAAGTCAGTTTTTTGGAAAAATTTTGGCCAAAATCCAAAATTTTCAAAAAACCGAGATAGCCATTTGATAGACAAAGTAGAATCACGTATAACCTTTTTTGTTACGTCTTGATTCCTTTAAAAATGAAGATGTTAGCGGCGTTTGAAATTTTGCCGTTTTTGAGGCGAAAATGGCGAACATGACGTCACTAAAACGTCAATTTCTCAAAAATTTTCCGACGGATTTCGCTCAAATTTTCAGGGAACGTGTCAAATTGATATATGATAAGGTACTGAAAGTTTGACGTCGCTGGCGTAACGCGTTTAGAAGTTATTGGCGAAAAACGGGAGGGGGGGCAGATTCTGCCCCCCCCCCCAGCGGGGCGCGGGTTAAGCTAGAGTCGGGAAAGGCACCATTGTGATTGCAATGAGCTTCCAAATCGATTGATATGCAACCTGACCTAGTCCGAACAGTGTCCTGAGGGGGCTTGACCTCACGACCTTTGTGTCAATCTTGATTGTGACCTTTACCGAGCAAAAAGTACCCACAACATTCGACGCAGCTTGAGAGGAATACGATTATGCCTAAATTTTGCTCTGTGGCCATTTGTTTGCAAAATTGTTTGCCAAAAACAAAAACCCGACTTTAGGGTAAGTTACCTGACCAGAGGTCACCAGTTGACCTGAGACCCTAAATTTGAATACCAATCGCTGCGTCTCGTGACGGCTGTCAAGCTCGTTTTTTTCCGCTGGACTAGAACAGACCCTATGAATGCCGCCCCCGTAGGCGGAAAATGTGCCGCCCCTGTGCTTGACTGCCCCCACCCTATCGAAATCCTAGATTCGCCCCTGCGACAAACAGGCACGAATGCTGTACAGCGGCTGGTTTCTGAGGAACTGCGGCGACGATAGCGACTTTCTCCACCAGATCTGGTTCACCGATGAAGCGAATTTTCACCTCGATGGACGTGTGAACTCCAAAACTTTCGGTTCTGGTCGACCGACCTGCCAGAGGCCTGTTTCACTAAAAACTTGCGATTGCAAGTGTTTGAACTTTACAATTAATAAGTTTTTTTTTGCAAACTATGTAAAATCGGATTTCACTAAACGTCATCACCAGCGGCACCTCCGATAAAAATAGTTGGTAAATAAACTTGTAAACAGTAAAATTGTTTTTAATCAAGAACTACAGGGTGTCCCAGAAGTCTTGAAGCTTTTTTATTTTTGTCGTGTGCCCTTGCTATGCCACCGATTCAGGCGAATCATGCCTGAAACGAAAGAGAATGAACTGAAATTTTGTATTTTCATGCGTAGAGCACCACTTTAGTCAGGTGGCCCCCGTTGTGAGTCGCACAAGAACGAGCGCTAGAGATCACGTCTTTCGCTGCCGCCAAGATCTCCCGGTTTGCGAAACACCGGTATCGCCATGCCCGTTTCTTGTCAGCTTCAGAGTCTTATTCCCTGAAGCGAGCGACATAATATTAGCGTCATATATTTGCGAGGGGTTGATATTTGTTTTAGCACCATAATAATGCGACGAATCAAAAGATTACAACGGGCTGTTGCTTAGCGCGCTCAAGCAGCTGAGCCTTATTTTCGCAATGGATGCGTGCAAACATGTCAGGAGACTTTCTGATCAGTAAATCATTATGTTGCTAATGTTTTCTCGGAGATCCAATGCTCTGTTTCCTGGCTCGCTTCATGAAATAAGGCTCTGAAGCTGACCAGAAACGGGCATGGCGACACCGGTGTTTCGCAAACCGGGAGATCTTGGCGGCAGCGAAGAACGTGATCTCTCGTGCTCAATCTTGTGCGACTCACAACGGGGGCCACCTGACTAAAGTGGTGCTCTAGGCATGAAAATACAAAACTTCAGTTCATTCTCTTTCGTTTGAGGCGTCATTTGCCTTAATCAGTGGCATAGCAAGGTCACACGACAAAAATAAAAAAGCTTCAAGACTTCTGTGTATAACGTGTTACAGATATTGCTTCTTTTTTTTCAAAATATGTCTAGTATTCATGTCAAAAATTGCAGGAATAAATTGAAAATAATGATGCTGTTTCTGAATGGTATAAATGATGGATCACAATATCTTATTATTGAAAGAAAATAACACGCAAAACATTTGACAGCAGAAGCCTGTTGAATGCAATTGTGGCGCGCGAATGACAAAGCATTGTATCGATATCTTGCAGAGAAGTTAGATTAGCCAAGTTTTCTTGTACTGCGTTGCGTAGCGGCCACACCCAACAGTATCCAAACAAGCTCGGCCCAAAAGTCGAGGGGCGTATACGAGGGGCGTATCCCTACTAAACTGCTGCAACTCAGCTGCTCGCGTTGCAACTCAGCTACTCGCGGTACACTTCCCCCCTTTCAATAGACGCGCAGGTCAGGCGGGAGCGCACAATGAAATATACAAGCTTGCTAAGCGTAATGCAAATTAAGCGGGAACAATAAATGTCAGGTTCCAAAACTTTTACGTGTCGCACCACTTTAGTAATAATGATAGTCCGCACGTTTTGTGGGCTTCACACGACGACCACTGCGCGTGAATCGCGGAAGCTCACCCGGTGCTGCTGTTGCTCCTGCTGGAGCTGCTGCTGGTGGTGGTGCTGTACCCGTTCTCTGGGCAGGCTGAGCAGGCGGTGGCGGCGGCTCGGCTGCTGGCAGCAGTTCTTCAGGTTCCTCGGGTGCTTGTGACGATGCCGGAGGCGGTTGCGGCGAGGACGACGGTGCACTTTGCGGTGGTGCACTCAGCGGTGAGCTCCGAGACGGTTGTGGAGCAGCGATATCCCAGGATGCTGGTCGGGTAACTGGCGGAAGAGCAGCATCTGGACTCGGGCGAGAATCGGGTGGAATCGGAAGGATGAAACGTCGGTTACGGACGACAGGCGTTTGCGTGGTAGCTGACGGAATGATGAATGAGTTTGGCTGCGCAGCTGGTCCGATGACGCGCACTGGTCCGTTCCAGTGTTTCTCGCCGTCATGACGCACACAAACGTCATCACCCACTGATGGAGGGTCGAGGAGCGCTGCGCCATGCCTCTTGTCATATCCCTCCTTTTGACGAAGCTTTTGCAGATCATGATGATGCTGAAGTTCGATGAAGTCAGGCCACTGCGGCTTCATGTGCACCGGATGAATTGGTAGTCGGGTTCTCAGATTGCGTCCCATGAGCAGGCGTGCTGGACTGTGTCCAGTGACTTCCAGTGGAGTATTCCGGTATGCCAAAAGCGCCAGCGTCGGATCCGGTTGCTGAATGATACGTTTGGCTGTCTGAACAGCACGCTCGACAGCTCCATTGCTTCTCGGGTTGTGAGGGCTACTCATGATGTGCTTGAAGCCGTACGTTTTGGAGAAGTCGGCGAAGGCTTGAGAAGAGAATTGCGGTCCACCGTCGGAACGGAGAATCTCTGGGATTCCGAAGCGTCCGAAGAGACCCCTGAGTCGGTCGATCGTGCTTGCGCTGGTGGTTGACGTCATGTGAAGAATTTCCAGCCAGCGACTGAAGTAATCAACGACGATGAGGAAGGTTCGGCCCTCATAGGTAGCGAAGTCTACCCCCACTGTATTCCACGGGCCATCGGCGAGCTCGGTGGGCTGGAGTGGCTCTGCATGCTGCCGCCGTCTGTGTGCTTGACAGAACCCACAGCGGTCGATCCATGCTTTCAGTTGGCCGTTGATACCAGGCCACCAGACTGACTCGGCGATCCTTTGTCGGCACTTGACCAGACTCAGATATCCGTCGTCGTGAATCTTTTGTAGCATTTCACGTTGCATGTCTTCAGGGATGACAATTCGGCTCCCGTACATCAGTAGAGGTTTGCTGGTTTGATCGTAGGACACGCTGAAGTACCCACGAGCTGAATAGAATTCCAGCAGGTCAGGATGGACAGGAGATGACCATCCGATTTCAGTGAAGTTGATGACCTGACGGATCTTTCGATCTTGATGTTGTTGCTGCGCGATGTCTTCAAGCTTGCCGTGGCTTGCGGGCAAGGCTGACATGATGGCGTTGACATGGGCTTCGAGTTCCGCCACGTCCTCGTCGGACGAGTGTTGTTCACTGACGGGTTTGCGTGAGAGGAGATCAGCAATGAGCAGCTGCTTGCCTGGCGTGTAGACAGCTTCTCCAGCGTAGGCTGCCAGTCTCATCAGTAGACGTTGACAGCGGAGTGGCGTATCAGCGATGTCTCTGGCGTTGATGAGCGGCACTAGCGGCTTGTGATCTGTAAGCAGTGAGAATCGTTGAAGACCGTACAGATATCCGTGGAACTTTTCGCACGCCCACGCTCCTGCCAGGCACTCTTTCTCGATCTGTGCGTATTTGCTTTCGGCACTGGACAGTCGGCGTGAACAGAATGCAACTGGTCGTAGCTCACCATCTTTCTTTTGCATGAGGCAGCCTCCAATGCCATAGGAGCTTGCATCTGCAGACACCACAGTCTCCAACTTCGGGTCGAAATACGCCAGGACTCCTGCTTCGGCTATCTTCTTTTTGATGTCTTCGAAAGCTTTTTACTGAGGGTGATCCCAGATCCACTCGGCGTCCTTTTTCAGGAGGTCATGCATAGGTCCCATGATGCTTTGAGCGTTGGGCACGAAGCGCGTCAGGAAGTTGATGGCACCCAGCATCGATCTCAATTCCTGAACGTTTTCTGGCGGTGGCATGTCTTGCACAGCTCTGAGCTTCTCTTTGTCGGGTTGGACACCAGCTGCAGATAGGCGGTGACCCAGGAACGCCACACTCCTTCGGCGAAATTCGCATTTCGATTCGTTGAGCTTGATGCCAGTCTCTTTGATGCGCTGCAGGACTGCAGAGAGGCGCTTGTCATGCTCTTTGCCTTTGCCGTGCACGATGACGTCGTCCTGGAAGAATACGACTCCCGGTAGGTCGTCCAACATCTCTGCCATCTTGCGTTGGTACACTTCCGGAGCCAGGGTGATTCCCATCGGTAGGCGGTTGAAGTGGTACCGTCCGAACGGCGTCAGGAACGTCGTGAGGTGCTTTGACTTCTCTGCCAGCGGGAGATGAAAGAAACCACTGGTGGCATCCAGCTTGCTGAAGGTGTCAGATCCTCGAACGGCATTGCTCAGCTCCACGAAGGTTGGCAGCTCGTAGCGTTCTCTCTTCACGGAGGCATTCAGCTTTTTGAAGTCAACAGTCAGTCTGACTTTGCCATTTGGTTTCGGCACAGGTACGATCGGCGCACACCAGTCGCTGGGTTCGCTGACCTTTTCGATGACACCGGTGCTTTCCAGGCGCGCAAGCTCTTCTTTGACGGGTTGCTGCAGCGGCAGTGACACTCTGCGTGCTGTCACCACGGCGTAGGGCACAGCTCCGTCTTTCAACGTGATGCTGACCGGCGTTGTTTTCCACAGTCCAACTTCTTTGGCAAACAGCTCACTAGGAATGTTCACTTCATTGAGAAGCTTTACCAGTCCTAGCTTCAGTGAGTCTTCTCTGCCTAGCAGCGGGCGGACGAGGCTGTGTGTAGCATACAGCACGACGTCTGCGACTTCCTCATTTGGAGACTTCAGTTTCGTGACAACTTTGCCTAGCACGTCCACTTGGCCACCGGGACTGTTCAACTTGATGTTCGCTTTTTGCATTCTGTGAGCCAGATTCAGCTTTTTGAGCGTGTCATAGCTGACGACAGAGACGTCTGCTCCAGTGTCTATTTTCACCAGGATTTCTTCTTCCGCTTTGCCTATCTTCAGCATGACCATCCCCGAGTTCTGTTCATGTTCCACTGCACTGACCTCTGCTTTGTCCATCTCTTTCTTCATTTCTGTGCAGCCAGTCATTTCTTCAATGAGCCCCAAATATGCATCAGACTCAGCATGTCCAGCTTCTGCTTCTCCAGCTTGAACTTCTGCCACTTGATGAGGTACTGCGCTTCGGCAGACTTCTGGGAAGTGATTTCTCTTGTTGCATCTTGCACATGTTTTTCCGTACGCAGGACAGTTGTTTCTGCCGAGACGATGACTCCTGCCACAGAAGTTGCACATTCTGCCACTGGTTTCCCAGTGGGGAGCTTGGTTCCGGTTTCTGTTGCCTGCGTCGTGTGCTCCCTGCACGTTCCTAGTCATTGGCTGGTTTGTCTGAAGATTTGGACGAGTGCCAACACCTTGCTGTCTTTGGTTTCTGCTTTCTTGGTTGTTTCTCCTGTTATCTGGATGGTAGTGTCTTTTGTTGCTTTGCAGATTGGGCTTTGACCATTGCACAGCATCAGCTTGCTTTGTTTCTTCTGATTTCTCTTTCACAGCCTTTTTCACTGCTTCATAGTTCTTTGCGTAGTTGATCAGGTGATCCAGCTCCTGGTCTGTTTCAAGGGCAAGTCGTGCGATTAGACCAGTGTCCTTGACCCCAACAAGGAATCTGTCCCTGATCTGATCGCGTTTCTGCTGAAACCCGCAGCTCTGGGCCATTGAGTACAGCGCTCGGACATATTCATCGATTGTCTCGCCTTCATGCTGGTTGCGTTGATGAAACTGTGACCTTTTCACTGAACTGTTGGATTTTGGCAGAAAGTATGCAGTGAATTTGTCCATTACTACTTCGAAGTTGGCCCTTTCAGCTTCAGTTAGTCCAAACGAATCGAGAATTTCACCACTATCTGGCATTCCCATGAGATACAGCAGTGAGGTAACCTGATATTCCTGAGATTCTCTATCCAATCGATGTAGAGTTCTGAACATTTTGTAGCTTTCTTTCCATTTTGGCCAATCCTCTGGTGCTCTACAATCAAATTTCTCAGGTGGCGGATAGAGAGGCATTATCACATGGAAAGTATTTCAATCTTTTTTTTTGCTTACCTCTTGCTTTTGAGCTTGCTTTCGTCTTGAATTGATTTTAAAATAACCTTCAATATCGGCTTGAATTGCTTTGATGCTCTGCGTCACTTTCGTCACAAAAAAATATCCAATCGTTTTGCTGCGTAGTTGCACTCTGAATACCCTTGGCACTTCTCTAGCTTATCGACAATGAATTTGCTGATCATTTCTCTGTGTTTTCCTCACCCAGGGCACCATGTATCGATATCTTGCAGAGAAGTTAGATTAGCCAAGTTTTCTTGTATTGCGTTGCGTAGCGGCCACACCCAACAGTATCCAAACAAGCTCGGCCCAAAAGTCGAGGGGCGTATACGAGGGGCGTATCCCTACTAAACTGCTGCAACTCAGCTACTCGCGGTGCAACTCAGCTACTCGCGGTACACGAGTACCGCGATATTTATTTATTGCTCATAGCTGGTTCGTAGGGAATGTGCTAAGTAAAAAAGAGCTTATAATGACTCAGCATATCATATTTGTTGTAAATAATTGATTGCTTTGCATCATTGCACAAAAAGTAATAAAATTCCAAACGTTTAAGGGCCACTGGAATTTCTGGTTTGTAAGTACAAAGTTTTCTTTCAAGTTTTCGGTCTTCGTGAAACAGAAACTTTGCGATTTCGATGTTTCTTACAAACTTTTTTCTTGTAAAAAAGTTGGTAAATTTTAAACTCAAAATTCATGCCCGAAGGTTTCGTGAAATCCAAATTTCAAATATTGGTAATTATTTCTTTTAACCCGCGCACCGACGGGGGTCTGCGCCAACTTCGCACCGACGGGGGGGGGGGGGCGGATGACCGCCCCCCTGAGATCTCGAGAACGAAGCAAGATAGCGACAAGCGGTAAACGGCATCGGATACGCACAGCCAAGATCTACAATTTTTGCAAAGGTCATTTTCAGGTCAGGTCAAAGATGACGTCACAGGGGTCGAAAAAGTCAAAATGGCGGCGCTAGATATGGAGAGAGTTTTTCTCGAAT